ATGTTCTATATAATGCATGTCGCTACGTTTACAACTTACCTGTCTCGTTTTATCATCAACCATGGCTCGTAGTTGTTCTGTAAGTGTATCTAAGAAAGCCTGACTCCTGAAGAAACTGTTAGAAAAGAGAAAAGTCGAGCAACGCTTGGAGCGTTGTTCATGATGACAAAAATGGTAGTGCCCAGACCCAACGGACCATGAACGGAACAACCACAATAAAAACGGAAACAACGCTACCGTTTAATCGCCGTTCAACATAAACAGAACGCGAAGTTTTTATTGTCTTCTACTGTACATGTACATTGTATGTCCATATGCCACTAATACATGTACATTGTATGTCCATATGCCAATAATAAATGGACAAAATAATGATTAATTTGGTGATAAATGGTGTGATGACTTTGTACACAATTAAGTGATACAGTAGCTCCAGCACTGCTAGGAAAGCCTGTATTCTGTTATACCAATGTGTATGCAAAGATTACTTTATGTATGACTGCAATATTTGTTACAAACCATAATATTTCCATCAATAGTTCCTTTTTATGTGTCATTCACAATATCATTATTTTATTTGTTAGGAGCAGCTTGATATTAGTAACCTACCTCAATGGAAGCCACTCCTCTACACTATAGCATTCCTTTACACTACAGTAGAGGAGAGGAGGAAGTATGGACCACTGGGTTGGAATATACCCTATGAGTTCAACCAGGGAGACTTTAATGCCAGTACACACAATACATACAGAACCTACATGTACTTGATGACATGGACTTGAAGAAGGTATTTCAACTAGTATTGGTAGTATGATATATGTACATGTATAGGGTCCATCATGGAGTGCTGTACGGTACATGATTGGTGAGATACAGTATGGAGGAAGAGTCACTGATGATTATGACAAGCACTTACTGAACACTTATGCTTAAGTTAGTATCTACTATACTATAGTCATTAAACAGTACTGGTGGTAGAGTATTGTCATGACTTGCTGTGCTATAATGTAATCAAAATAATATATAGGATAATAGTTTTTGATGTTTTCATGCAATGAAGACTATAGTGTTTCATGGACTTATACATTAACTCTGTCCTCATTATTTTCCTTCTCTTGTTCATGTAGCTTTGGTTTGGTGAGCATATGTTCCAGCAAAAGTTTAGATTTTGTAATTGTAAAGTGTTTCCAATCCCAGTGTTCAAGACAGTCCAGGATTACATCAGTTACATTGATTCCCTTCCCATGGTCATCACTCCTGAAGTCTTTGGAATGCATCCTAATGCTGACATCACGTGAGTTTATGCTAGCAATACTTCATGACAACTTACTGTAGCTATTAATTGAAATTTTGGCATTTTGATAATCATTCATTCCTCAAAATAAGTCTTGCCTTTTTAATCCATTATATATAATTTGTTAC